CTCACGAAAATAATTTATTAAAAACCAAATATATAAGGTAAAATTCTCGTTAAAACGACATAGTCATCACAATGACGAGAGTATAATATCCAACTCTTTAGACGACATAAACAGAAAAAACATATGTTTCCCCGCCCAGTGTTACAGATCAGAGCAATATAATTCTAATAATGCAAAATAAAAAGAAAGAAGACAACCTCGGGTTATCCTCCCGCTCTAAGAAGCTACTAAATTACTTGCTTATATGTACTCCAAAGAGGAGCACATACCCCAACAACAACAAAGGGGTGAGAAATCGAATTAATAAAGTAAGTGGTACATAATGCAAGGTAGAGTATAAAAAACATATATATTCTAAAAACAATTACATACAATTATGCATCACACATCCTCACACCCAACTCAAAAATCTCATATAAATTAACATTATGCATACAACTCATTTATGTAATGCATCTCAACTATGAAACTCGATACATATTGTTGAAGCGGTAAAGCGACAATAAAAGGTAAGTAAGTATTTAGTTTTATTGATGTCGTTTCCACAGGGATTAGTGTGAGGGAAAAAATATCATTCAAAAGTCTTAATCTCTCTAATTTTAGGTTGGGTTTGCGAAAGTAAAATGCCGGAATTTAAATAAAGCAGATAAAAAATCATTTGTAGCTCGAGAGAATTCATTCTAGAATCGCATTTCATTATACCCGTCAAATACTTAAACTTGTAGATATATCACACCCAACCTACAATACGAATCAAAATCATCTAGCATCGCTCGAGACGCACCACAACAAAGGTTATGTCTAACGCAAAGTCGCAGACAACCATATCACTCGTGTCAGTAATTTCGCGTGCGACACAAATAACACAGAGGCATTAAGCTCTGATGTCCACAAATATTATCAGCTCTAAATCTATCTCTAGAATCTAGAAACTAATAAACGTTCATCCCTAATCAAGATCTGTGAGGCATATGTCTATGACAACCCGAATCCAAACATAAAGCAAAAGATTAAGATTAAGGACAACATCGATAATAATTTGTAAAGCAAGCATATATACAATCCCATGATCAACAAATGTATATACAATAAGAGTAAAATATACATACAAAACCCACCATTGGAATGAAACACAAGGAAGAAGGAAAACAAGCGGAAACTACTCGTAGTGTCGACGCGGTCAGAGACAACCCGCAGCCAAATGACGTGATGAACCACCCAATGATGTTGCTTGGACCTATAAACTACAAAGAACCGGATCAGAGCTCAACCTTGTCAAGAAGGAGATGATAAAAACTAATAAAATCTATTTTTAAACTATATAGATAAATCTGCAAATCGCAGACCGCGCAAAGCACGAAAACGGGGCTAAGCACACTCTTATTTATTAAGCAAACTGCCTTAAATGGTGCTAAGCGCCAAATGCCAAGCTTAGCGCTAAACTCCCTATCAAAAAGTACCATGGCACCATGCTAAGCGTGCTCTTCTGTGCAAAACTTCCAAAAATGCTTCCAAAACTATGTCTCCAGAGTCGTTCCTTCGACACTTTATCCCTCAACGCTCTAAATATGAGACAATACCCATAAAAGACATAAAATCTATAAAACAGTACGCAAATGAATCAAAAACTCAATTATACACAAAGTATACATATTTAGAAACAAAGTTCGGATTTATTCAACGAATATTAACAAAAGAACTGATAAGTGCCACAAATTAGATACACAAAATAATGAAATTTTGGCACTTATCAACTCTCCCCAACTTACAACATTGTTTGTCCTCAAACAAAGTTAAACAACCTAAAGAACAAAGAAGCAACAATCAAAGAATCATGAATTAACAGTTTTGAAAACAGAAAAAAAATGTATGGTTCAACAAAAGCGTACACGCAAAGTATACTTACCATTATCCTACAAAGACAACATGGAAACGAAACTAAGTACAAAAATCATGCAAATCATTCTAAAATAAAACAAGCTTAATCATGAATCACACCTAACAAAAATTCATAGATAGATGAAAAAAACACAAAAGTGAGGGACTTTGGTATTCATCCAACAATCTTGCAAACAAAAGACTAAATTATGCATTCATCCAAAAACTTATATTGAAAATACAAAAGCAAGAACCACAAGGGCTTATCAAGGTTGTAATGTGGCTTGGTTAACAAACAAGAAATAATTTCTAAAACTAATCAAAACAAAAATTTGCCTAAACCTAAGGGAGTGATCAACTCTCAAAAGCTCAAACACAAAATTTCAATCAACTTCTTCTTAGTCTCAAAGTTCACAAGCCAATCACAATACTTATTAACACAATATTATTCCATACCCTTTTTGTTTTTCTTTTTCAAAGCTTTTTCAATTTTTTATTTCTTTTTCTTTTATTTCTCTTTTTTATTTCCTTTTCTCTTTTTCTTTCTATTTTTTATTTATGTTTCTCTTTTTCACAACTGTATAGCAATCAACAACATAAGTGAGCAAACAATTCTCTCCCCAACTTGAATTTAACCAACATTAAAGTGAATACTCCCTACTTTTTAAGGCAGTGTGAAAATTCAAACCATAAACAATTGTTGAGGGTTAAAGAAAACAAAGAATTAACATTCATTCAAAAAGGAAAACAAAACACTCATAGACAAGAATTAAGTTCAAAAACAACATGGACATCGACAAATAGGCTCAAAAGGGGTTAACAAAAGGTCACACACTCACAAGGTGAATTGACTAGTTAGCTAGGTAGTTGTGCTCAAAATGAAGAAAAAAAAGGCTTGATCATTTTCATGCTTTTGTACAATCAACATAAAAAAAGACTAACATAATAAAATCCAGTTAAAACAAGAATTGTGCCCTTCAGCATATATGAACAATGGAAAGCTTCCTCATATTTAGGGGTAAAAAGGGAACCAAAGTGATTGAATCAAAAGCAAGTAATGCAAAAAGAATGAAAGACATAGTAATTATACAAATGATAAGTTTCCTAAAAATGAAATTGCTATAGAAAGTGATAAATGAGTATCAGGCGTGTACCAATTTCAAAAACTATCATTACCATAAATCCACAAGTTGAATCAATCAAAATCGAAAAATCACCTGAAAATTCTCCAAGTTACCGGACTAAAATTGGACGACAAATAACAACAAAAATTACTAAAAAATAATAATGTTATTTACTACTATAGAGCCTTGGTGAAAGTGGAAAAAAGGATGGCCAAGTGCATAAAAAGAGTTAATTGGTGCATCATAGCAGAGCATGCTAAGCACCCATACCCACGCTAAGCGCACTACACCAGAAGCAGAAAAAACAGGATAACAACTTGAATTTCAAATGCATCCTCCACTTTCGCCTACGCATCACAATTACAAATCTCAATTACACAAATAAACAAAATTTACAAACATACATATTTCCTCAAGCTAATAAAAGCAAGCTTTTGGAAATCCGGGCGAAAGTGAATAAGCAAGTTGAAAAGTGAAGATTTGAGTTTTTAAAACAGGTGCAATTTCAACTTGTTTAAATAATAATTGACACACTACCTAAACTAACACAATGAAAAACAATAAAAAAACTATTTACAATAAAATATTCTTGCTTTATATCGTAAACTCGACGCCTATACAGTGCATAGCTAGAAACTTCTTCTCGTCACCCGATGTTTTTCTTCAACGCGCAATCGAAAACAAGTGTCCTAACAGGAACTTGAACAAAAATTACGAAAACAAGATAATTCACAACAACAAGTAAACATAATTGATTCACAACATATTTATACACACACTTGCATAACTTTGAGAAACACAAACATAACAAGTGTGAAAAAACAAACACAAACCATGTATTTATAGAAACAAGTATGGATTATTCACAAGTATGAGAAACATGTACAAATATACGATATAGACATATTTCTGAAACATAGAAAGAAAAACTATTTCAATGTAGTTAATATCAACATCAATCTCCGACAACTACGCCATTTTGTTGAAGCGGTAAAGAGACAACAAAAAGTAAGTAAATATTTAGTTTTATTGATATCGTCTCCACGGGGATTTGTGCGAGGGAAAACTACCATTCAACAATCTCAATATCTTTAAAATATATATGGCCTTTACCGTGGCCATAGGGTTGCAATGCCATTTTTAAAGTAACTATAGTTTTGGCCACAGGGATTCAATGATGTGTTTTCTCCTGCCAACTTCTTTTACAAAGTATAATTTTGGATTTTCTCACAAATGTTTCACTTTTATAGATGACTGAATGCTTGATTAATTTTGTTCCAAGGTTATAATGGTGGTTTGATGATTACAAGCCAGTGTATTTGATTTCTGTATATTGATGTGCAGCCATGTGATTGTGTTTGTAGTGTGACATATGTAAAAGTCCAAAGAGACTGCTCTAATTAAGATATCTTTAAAACCAAAATATTCCTAATTTCTAAATAAAAATTTGGAGTTATACTGCTATTAAATAAAGGAAGAAAGTTAACCAAGTAATATTGAAAGATTTCTTAAATATGTTTAAATTTATTCCAAATGAAAATACTTTACATTTGTTCAGTAACTAATTGGTGATAATCCATCAAGTTTATAGTAATCAAAATATTTAGGCTGAATTTTTGTTTCTAACATAATTTATGACCAAAATAATATGCAAAACTAAGTAAAATTGTATCTACTCTTTGTTTAGATAATGAATTAGAGTCGTAAATCAAAATTTTGCTTCTTGGTTACAAACTTGATGTGGTGATGTTCATTTTCTATTTGATGTCACAAAATTAAATGTCTAGCTTCATAAGCTGATTAGTTGTTGGCATGTTCATCCTTTCAAACTCGTATTCATGACGAAAGCCTAAAATATGTACTGTCATACCAGTCAATTCTTGCTTTGGCAAATCAGTTTCCAACAAGTGATTATGAAATATACAACACCATAGTTTAGATTGATGTCAAAGCATAAACGGGTTTGAGCTATCAGAGGATAACAAAGAACCCAATTTCATGACTGAGTATGTGGTTACTCGATGGTACCGAGCTCTCGAGCTGCTTCTTAATTGTTCAGAATATACATCAGCCATTGATATATGGTCTGTCGGTTGCATACTTGGTGACTTGATCCACGGTAAGCCTCATCCAAAGTAATATATTTTTGGTCAAGGAGTAACTTTGAAACCGCAAGCTATAGAAATTAAACTTGATTTCTTACTTTTTGGTTTAGGTGGAACTTACATAGAGGTATAAAATTAGTAATTGATTGGCTGGCAAGATAAGGGGAGATAAGGGTCGATTTTTAGGATTTGACTATGCAAATAAAGGCGGAGGGGCAGGAGATGATGGTAAAGGTGAACCTAGATTGTACTGGTCTGCAAAATTCTTCTAATTAGTAATGATAGCTTTACAGAGTGAATGCCAATATTTCCATGCACTGCAGAATGAAATAACGTTGTTGGTTCCCCTGCTGAGTTTTGAGATATTTCAGAGGCTGCTCAGAAGCATTGAAGAATATTAAATTTTCTTTAGAGATCCTAAGGTTTATTATCACCTATAATATAGGTTCAACACATTATTGTCTGAGGAATGAGCTGTATGCCAAATATGAGACCATACAGGATGCCCAATCATCATAAAGCTAATGATAGGAAAACTTGCTAAATATTGTAGGCCACTTTCAAGATCACATTCGATGTGCCTTCCGACCATGATTATGCAGGATGATGCAGTTTTTCTTCAACCGGAGCAGGTTAATTCTTAATTTCTCTATTTTATTTCAATCAATTTAGATTCTGAGCTATTTTATTTTATTTAACTGACTCATTTATAATGAGAATGTACTTTAAAAGTAAAAGTGCAGAATTATAATTGTCATTGGTTGAGATTTTAGTGGTGTGCCAAATAGATGCAAAAGTGTTGTTATATGATTCATCAACAGAAGAAGAAATTCTCTCAGACCATCATGACTATGTTCTGGATTGTATTGATAACATCGATACGAAAATTCAGAGGGTAACGGGGAGATGCAAGTTAAAATTAGTCAATGAATATTCCTCGTATTCAGTTTTGGTATGTCCTTAATTAATGATGTTGAGTTTTCATCATTTATATATCATTTTTTTCTTGCAGATCACGATCTTTTAAATGTCATTATTTTTTAGTGTCAATCCAACCAATTGCGCTTCCTTCAGCTAAAGTGGTTACTATGGTGCTGACTAGGTGAATTTTTTGATTTTTCAGCAACGGAGCTCACAAATTTAAGTGCTTTATATTTTTATTGGTATAGACTGACATACTTTTCTGCAGGTGCTGTAATGTGTTACAAAATAGTTCAATCATTGTAAAGTTTATTCCTGGTATTGGCACTATCATTTTTGCAGTACGGGGTGTTGTCCCATTAATTTTTCAGACAAGGAAACATTTTTTTCAGGTTATTTAGCAATTATTTTATTATTCACCTTTGTACTAACAGATTGAGTGCTATTGACACCTAAATCTAACAGTAGGAACTGTATCCTGCAGAGGAGTGATAATAGTTGGGGAAAAAGTACCAATTATTATATAGTAACTTCATACCTTCGACCACTACTATTATGGAATAGAGCCATACTTATTTGCAGATCATTTGAGCCAGTAAGTCTACCTACTGAAACTAGCCAGGTTGTTAAGGAACGACTTCTGAGTTTTGTTAAATCATTGTCAACTATAGTGGCTTTTGCCTATTGTTTATCAAGGTATGCCTATTTCCTTAACTGAAATTTAATTTAGTTCATCTTACAGTAAGTTGTAGTAACTTAAAAGTTGCAGTGTCGCAGGTCTATTCCTTACTGTCATATGTATGCTGAAGATTCAATTAATAGAAATTCATAGTTTGTAAAAATAGTTCAATTTATAGTTAAACTTTAATATAAGTGATTCATGTTATGACTTTATTTTTAATATGAAATAAAATTAGAATTTAAAAGCACTTGCAATCTTAATGCTGATAGCACTCCTGGTCTGATGGATTTGAGACCTGTTTCTATCAAACATATTGGTGCATAGTGTGTTGGATGAGGTGTGCAACTCAACCATTTAATTCTTCTCGCCTGGTAAGATTTTGTCTAACTTGAATTCCAACTCAATTGTTATGTTGCTTATGGTCAAGTATGCTAATTCTTTAGATAAATTTAGGATTTAGCCAACTTTAAATTCAAAGTTATTACCACCAGATTTTAGCTAACTCGGTTTGAACATCATCTTTTCTTTCAATATACAGTAACCATCATTCTGGATTTTCTTTCAATATGGTAAACAGTATCTTCATGAAAATTTATTTTTTACATGCACTATTTATTCTCTTAAGTCATTGAAAACATTATAATACATTTCTCAATCTTTTTTTTCAATTGTCGTTTCCTTATATCCCAAGTTTATACTTTATATTTGCTGGATTTACTACTTTTTATGACGATATTTGTTGGTAATACTGTTTCAGAGGGTTGTAACGAACTCACAAATATGGAAAATATTATAGTTGCTGCTGCTAGGGCTGCAACAACAATATCTACAAATCATTTGTGGGTTGTTAAGATAATAATCCAAGTGAGTTAATTCTTCTCATGTCTATAATCTTAGTAAAATATATGTAATCTTAGAACAGGGGCCTCAACTCTAAAAGCTTCATAATAGTCATGCAGCAGATCAAGAATTGTGCATAAATGGTTCAAAGAAATAATCGGATAGTGGCCACAAACGCAATATATGAGAAGTTGCTACGAGCTGGAATTTGAATATTAAGTTCACAAAATTTGAATATTGGTGTTATGCTTCTTAAAGTCAGCGAGCCTGTCAGCAAAATACCTGAGGTATGCAAGTTACTACAACAACGACAAACATCATATCTTGTCTTTGGTAAGAGTAGAGTTGACTGCCAAGAAAATATCCATGTTCGCTAATCCTTTATACTGTGAATATCTTTATATCATATATATTATCATAACTAAGAATATGTTAACAAGGAGATTTGGTCCACATTCTGTTCAAGACCATCATGTCACATGTTATGTTTTTTATTTTCTTTTGTTAATCGTCCATTTACAATTCATGCTAGTGGATTAGTATCTTTTAGTGTGGAACTTTATAGATACCCTTTTGTTTACTTTTATGAAAAATGAATATTCTTTTTATACTTGATGTAAGCTCATTTGTTTCTACAATTATCATAAGGTTATGTTTCTATTTGTTTACTTTAATTGAGCTTTCGTCGACATGGTTATTACGTTTTTGCCTCTCCTAAAGGTTACTTTTTCGTATATCCCATTTTACATTTTCTCTTTTATGTAATTGTTTTTTTTCAAGTTTGTTCTCAGCCTGATTAATAATAACCATCTTTTTTATCGCGCTCTTGCAGATCCTACCTATATTGTTGCGTCGGTTTTACAATCTCGCGCAAGTCGCGAAGATTTGAAAAAGATCTTCGAAGGTTCTATTATTTTCTCTCAAACTGTTGAATATTATATTCACTTCATATCTATGTTCCAGTTATTCATCCATAGAATCATGTTATATGTAAAATAAAGTCTCGAGTAGTTATATATGTCATCTTGATAACTGTGAATTTTTGTGCTTGTGATACATCAACCTGATAATCCATTTCATTTTGATTTGCAGCCTGGTATGAGAAAAGGAAAATGACAAAAATATATTCACCACTTCTGGAAGGACTATTGGCTCTCTACCTCGGTTTTGAGTGGATCCAAGTAATGATTTCATCTTTGGAAAATATTCATTATATTTTGTTTATGATTTCTAAGAAACTAAACTAATTTGTGTTAATTGGCAGACAAATAATTTTCTTTCTCCTATTATCACACATGGAATTTACTCTACTGTTATATTACATGGTCTTTGAAAGATACACGAAAAACTATGGTAAAGAATCCAGCAGCTGAAATCAGAAGAAAGAAATTCCAACTAGATTTTGAAATTTCATCCATGACTAATTTTTGTGGAAAAATTGTATATGTATTAGAGGTGTTAATAATGTAAAGAGAATATATGTATACTTATATGTTAGATGAATTCTCATACCTACAGAATATGCAAATTTTTGATTACAGGATTCTCTAATTGGGTCATTAGTGTCTAATAAAAATTGGAGTAATTCAAAAGTTATGTTAGTTTAATAAAACAACATATCAATTTTCTCAACTCTCAACATGACTTTTAATGTACATAATCATATTATATTGTTGGAACACTTTTGGAAATAAGAGTGGTTTATCAGAGTTATGTGGTAAAAGGTATAATTTTTATTGCAAAAATTAGGCAACATACCCATTTTGGTCCCTTAACTATAACCCCTGTTTCACTTTGGTCCCTTATCTTTTTTTCGTGTCAAATTGGTCCCTTATTTTCAAAAAGATGCAAACAAGTCCCTTCTGTCAGTTGGCATCAAACGTCCGTTTATTTTATCTATATGGCAGGTGATCTGGCAAGTTTTCTTCATATTCTTTATATGTAACATGCTTCTGCGCTATTCACCATAACCATCAAATGAAACTCAATCCTCACTTTTTGTGAAAATTAAAACTCAGTTTTAAACCACAAACCTCCATATCTCTAATCCTCTTGCTCGAATCTCAATCCTCCCCATGGTTAAAACTCTTTCTTGAAACGAGATGAACTTCGAACGAAGTGTGGCTCTTATCCAATTCCTTTCTTCTATTCAATCTGAGATCTTAAACTGCAAGCTAAAGGATGAGATGTGCGCCACAGTTGTTATGTTTTGCGGACTGGTGTTAGTGTTGTAACATATTATTATTGTGACTTAGTTGTTGTTCTTCATAGTGGGGAAGTTATTGAAGATGGTGGTTGTGGATCGGAGTAAAAACGCAGTGATGATTTGGTTGTTTTCTAAGTAATGACATATCTCCATATCGCATACGTATAGTATTTGTGCATCAATATACTTATTTCTATCGCAGATTTTTTTAGGGATGGGAAAGATATAACAGAGGAGAAATAGAGATTCATAAGGTAGATATTAAAACTTCAGTCTACTAAAATGCTTATTGCTTTTAAATGAGAAATTTATGGTTTCTATTTTCTATTTATAATCACTATATGAGTCAAGAAGGAATACCAGTGTCCAGTTGTTTCAGTTCAGCAATCAGACAATTTGTAACGTACAACAGATAATGTGCATTTGTTCGTGCATAATGTACCATTTCTTCTAAGAGAGGGCCATGTCTCCAGTCTTCCTGCTACAATCAGGAATATAAAATACATAGTAATTATATTCAGTATCTGAAAAGACGTCATAAATTAACTAAGTAAAGAGAAAAATTTGCATGTTTTATGTTTGATGTTATGAGCAACCCCTTCATATAATTAGTTTTGAATGATAGCAAATATGTGTGAAATAATAAATGAATGTTGAAAATGATTTACCTATATGTGTGCATTGTAAGAATACAGTATAACATGTTTAAAAAGAGTTAAGAATGTGTTTTACACATAAAACACTGTTATGAGTCGACACAAAGAGCTTTGCATCGACACATACTTAAGCAAAGAATCATAAAAACGATTCTGCTTCAGTATGAGTCGACACATCCATTTCGTGCATCGAATCATAACATGTTGATGCTCCTGGAATACAATTTTCAACTTTTATGCATCGATACATAACTTCATGCATCGACACATGATATGTTGATGTCCCTGGAAAACAAGTTTCAACTTTTATGCATCGATACATAACTCCATACATCGACACATAACACGTTTTATCTTCAAAAATCAAAATTCAATTCAGTATATGTCGACACATACGTGTTATGTATGACTCATGTAAAATGGTTGGCTCTGTAATATGTTGTAGTATCAGTTTGCATCGACTCATAACAACTTGCATCGACTCATTTTGTGTTGTATAACTAACATGAGTTAACTCATGCTAACATGTATCGACTCATAATGTGAATTACTGTCTCTAACTATTTTCTATTACATATATAAGTAATTTTTCAACAACAAATTAGGCGTGACACATTATTACAATTGTGAGCATCAATTACTGAGCAACAAGAAGCCTGAAAGATACTTCATCTTCATCATCCTCTCAATCATCTTAATTCAACAACAACGAAATTCAAACATCTTTGTTCAATTGGATCAAGAGATCAAGAGATAACGTTCAGTTGTTCATTCAAGGGATCTCAGCTGGGTTGAAGATTCAGAAGGGGGCTTCGAGGAAAAACCAAGGGTTTGTCCTTCAAACCTTACTTTTCCACTGCTTTTAACAAACTTTGATAAAAGATTTTAAATCCTTGATAAATAAGGAGGTGATCTATTCCCCCCCCCCCCTCTCTCGATCACTTGCCACACCGTCTAACAGATGTACCTCATGCTAAAAATAATTTATTATTTATTACTATTGATTAAAAATCTAGCATTTAGTTCAATAAATACTATAACTTGATCATTCAATTATAATTTGTTTTATTCTTACTTCTAATGTCCTCCTCATTAGTTCAATAAACTCAAGTCAACTGTTCAGATTGAATTCCTTTATTACAAGGCTTATGTTTGGTTCATCGAGTTTTTAGATTTCAGAATCAATCCGCTTATGAGATTAAAGCAATAAATTGCCGCTTCTAAGATTAAAGCAGCAAATTGTCTATATATGCAAAACTGAGCTTCAATCGTTACACAAGTTACAAGCTTTATATAGAAAAAGTAAAACCTCATCAGAAACCAAAATGTGATGAATACTTGCTTATATAGCGGTTCTTAGAGAGGGTGAGAAAGAAGATGAACAGGGGTTTGGTAAAGAAAATGAGTCGAATTTTTCTCAAGGAAGAAGAAGAAGAAGATCCCAAGACAACTTGCTCAGCTTTTTTATTTTTCTCAGGCACCATTTCTACTACCTCAGCAAGTCAACTGCCATCTGAAACCTGTTTTTAGACTTTTACTAACGGTTCACTAACGGAAGGACTAACGTGGTTGCGTATTTAAAATTAAGGTACCAATTTGGCACGAAAAAAAGATAAGGGACCAAAATAGATATTTTACCCAAAAATTATGAGTTATTTTGCAACAAAATTATTTTAAATTATAAATCACTTTACAATTTAATGTATCATTAATAAAAAAAATTATATTATATTTCCTTTTAATTATTTTATTTTTAATTTCTAAATAACAATATTGTAAAATTATATATAATGTTTTTTTTTTTGAAATTAATGTTTTTGGAGAAGGATATTTTCCAAAAAAGAAAGCTTAAAAGAAAGATAAATATATTTCTCTTATTTATATATTTTTATTATTTTTTTCAATTTTTTTTCATTTTTTATATAAATAAATTATCTAAAATAAATGAGCGTATCACACCGGTACCTTCGCAAAGGTATGCAACTAGTTTATAGTTATATTATGATAAGATAGGATGGACACTCATTGAAATCAGGTAGAAAACAAAAGGAAAATATCAACTCAATAATACATCATATATGTCCAATGATGTACTATAAATCTACTTTCTTCTATTCCTCACGAGTAGCATGAGCCAATCCAATAATTATCTGCTTTCAATAATCCCACCACACATCATGACTAATTTTAAATTTGTGATCAACTTTATTAAAATATTAACACATGCCCCTGCCCGTCACGTCAACTTCTTAACAGCGTATAAATTATTTTATAAAGAATGTTAACTGAATAAAAGATCAATATATTTATACGATTTTAGATTTAAATGATTAAAATAAATTTAAAAAATAAACATTTTATGAATGTAGAGAGATCAACCTAGGGTTTGCCAGGTAAGATTGGAGAATTATATCTGAAATCCTTTAAAATGAATCGTTTGTTCTTTAAATAAAAAATAAAATAATTGTGTATAGGTCATTTTGTTTAAATTTTTATATTTTATATGCATTTTTTTTGTTAAAAATGTAGTATAATATCATAAATTTTAGAACATTATGGTTTGTTGGATTTTAAGTGTGAAAATTGTGTAAAGTTTCACATTAATTAAGAATGAAGAAAACGTTGAGTTTATAAGATAAGTATCATATTCTTTTATTGTCTTAAGATTTTAGATTGAAATGTGATGTCAAAGTCTCTTGTAATCAAGATCTCACTTTTCGAATTCTCCAACAAGTGATATCAGAGTCTTATATGTGGTGTTGAGGTTTCTTGAAATATGAATGTTTGACCTATTGACATTTTCGGGTCTCACTCTCTATACTTTTCCAACAAGTGATATCAGAATCTTAATTGACTCGGTAGAGAAGCGGAAGTAAATCTTAGTGCTGATCAAAGTTAGTGATATAAGTCTCACATCAAATATGAATGGAGAAAATAGTTGACTCAGGAAAGAAGCGGAAGGCTAGTGATGTAAGTCTCACATCGACTAGAAATGAAGGAAATGTTAGATTTATAAGAAGGTGACTCATACCCTCGAGTGTCAAGATCTCTTATAACCATAAATATTTAGCTCATTAACACTTCCAAATCTCACTTTCCGAATTTCTTCAACAAGTTATTGTAAAAAATTAAATAAAAAATAATATATTTTGAAAGAATAATGATTTTATTCTGATTTTTACAAAAACTCATTAAAAAAAAATAAGTTTTGAGAAAAATTATAATTTTATATCATATTTATCAAAAATCCAGCATGTAATGTAAGTGTGCATGGGAAATTTTGAAAAAGCAATGGTAGATTATTTATAATTATAAAAGAACACAAAATTAATACTATCAATTTTTTTGATAAATCTGATTTATATTGCGTGATATTTATATTTTGGTAAAACCTAATATAAAACTATTGTTTTTCCCAAAACTTATAATTTTTATGTTATATTTTTGAAGGAAAAAAAATCGATATAAAAT